AGAGAGAGAGAGAGAGAGAGAGAGAGAGAGAGAGAGAGAGAGAAGGCGCAACGAGATCTTCTTGACTTACCTTGATTATTCTCCATCTAGTCCCGCAAGGAGAAATCTCCAGAAGACGCTATCCGTGCTCGAAACAGCAAGATAGAATCCGACGAATGACAACACACACACACAAACACACACACACACACCTCAACAAACGCAGTCAGCACCAATCCGAACAGCGAAAATTCACAACAGTATCGTCTTACCAACCTTTACATGTGACGAAAAAGATGTCGATATTATGCAACAAATCGTGTTACGAGAGAGATTACAGCGTCAGCACCGCTAGTGTTCCTACTGTTTGCTACAGGGGTAAAAGAAAACGATGTAAAGTGAAATTATAGAACTCACATCACATCACAACACAGCACATTTTGCTCACACTATTTCAGCTTACCCCCACAGCTGAGACATGGTAATAATATCAGCGCCAGCGCCAGCACCAGCAACTAATGTTCGCATTCTCCCCCCCCCCCCTGCCTTAATTAAGCAAGGTCAAGGGTGAGTTTAGTCTCTTTGAAGATACATTTGTCGAATTGAGCGATTAAGAAGAAAAGGTTAAGAGCAAAAGATAAAAGAAAATAACAGAGGGACTTGTTTTCCAGAGGAAAAAAAAAAACCGAAAGAGAAATAACTTGAAGCAGATGGTAATGAGAAAGAGGCGTGAGAAAGGTGTGGCATTTTCAAGTCCATTAAAGTGATGTAAATGTTGTAATGAAACAATGGTGGTGGAGTCAATGTTGGTATCAAAATTGATAAGGCCGTCGATGTAGTTGCAGTTTTTTAATTTTTTATTTGGTTATTTTTCGGGTCGTTTTCACTGTTCAAGTTTAGTACGGGCTACATTCAGATGACGGTATCATTTTTTCCACAATGCAGATAACGATAATGGTAAACAAAAAGGGAAAGATACTGGACATATCACATCAGAACGCAAACCAATCACCTGCACAAGGTCGTCGATCGTGAGAGAGGAAAAAAAATGACTCGCAGATACTAGTAGCAGAATATACTGATAACTATTCTAACACCTCCTACAAGATCAAAAATACAAGTGTCACACACGAGTTTTACCCAAGGGCCCAAGAAAAACAACAACACCATCCTACAGACAGGACAGAAGATGATGGAGACCCAGACCAGCGGATGGCTCTATGCATCCGTTATACACAATGTATGTTGTTTGAGCCATATCATATCAAAACATTCATTGTTGCTTTAGTTTAGTTTTACGGCATTTGCAACACAAAAAGTCCATACAAGTGCCGGAGAAAAGAAGCGTTACTTCTAGAGAGTAACGTACAAAAGAGAAGAAGGCGAGATGAGGACGATAGTTGTTTGATAGGATAGAAGGAGCACACCACACCAGAGCAACCATTAACCACATACAAAGAGAATCATAGCACATCAATTGTTGTTCTACACTAGGGAGAAAACAAGACGCAATACAGAACCATACAGAGCAGACAGAACCATACAGAGCAGACAGAACAGAAGTCAGACCTACCAGAGGCACCCATAACAATCCACATCCTTAACACACATGAAAAGAAATCACGACTTTGAAGACAAGGCACAAGCGTTCTCCAAACAAAATAGATATGTGGCGGACTTTTACCCCAAGCCCACGTTCAAGATGGAAGGAAAGTCAATAGGTAAAGCAACTGCCATAGAATCCGGCTTCGCCCCAAACAGCCAGTCATAATCTGAGTCAACAAACAGACATAGAAGAAGCCAGAGGCCGTGTGTTCTCTGTACCCCACTCAGCGACATTTCTGCCAAAGGAAGACGTTGGTATGCAATAGAACATAAAATATGACTTGATCTCAGTGCAGCTGAACAGATTAACCAAGACATACTCTAGGAGTCAGGAGGACACGAGCGACTCCAAAGAGCAACACAGTCAACGTTAACGAGGAAAAAAAAGTATTGTGCTACTGGAAACGACCTTTGAATCAACAATACACAATATCACAAGAAGCCTTCATTTCAAACAATTAATGAACCCCATATTATTACAGCAACTTTACTTTTTATTTGATAAAATATTATCTGACGTTGAATCGAAGCTTGGAGCCTGAGTTGAAAAAAAGCCTCCACCCTTAGCAGTTAACAAATACCTCCTCAATCATGTTATTACCCTTGGTTTATATGTCAGAGAAAATAGCAAAAAAGAACGACAAAGTTGATAAACAAACTCTGAACTTTAAAAAATGGCTATACTGCAAGATATACACGAGCAGTTCTCGATACGCGAGCACACAAACCATGAACAGTTTGAGTTGAACACCCGATCTAAAAACCTAATCGAAATATAGCCGAACCAAGTGAAAAGAAAGCCGCCCGCCTCAAATTCAAATGACTTAAGTCCCACAATAAATACTTCATAACAATCTCAAACCTCGCTTAACTCGAACACGTATGACGATTTTCTTCAAGGAGACAACTTTGACTTCCCTTTGGATGCATTTTACTTGTCCGCAGTTTTATTGAAATTAGTGTAAAGGTTACCGAGATATTCGTCGTCTTTCTTCATACACACTTTGTAAATGTGCTCCAAGAATCGTCCAAGGGAATATAAACAATACGGAGGTCCAGCCAGATCTGTTCTCAATGCTCACGCCATTGCACTAATGCAACCATGAACTAAATGCCGTATGGAACCAGCAGAAGGCACACTGAACTAACCGCTACAAAACCCCTGCATATCATGATACATGTCCGAGTGAGGAATGGGGTGGGTTTTTTTTTTAAGGGGGGGGGGGGCGCCGCCGCATTAGTATATTTGCGCATAATATGGACGTGTGAAAAAGGGGAGGGGTGGGAGGGAAGGTATCATTTTACAAAGAGGACTGCGTCAATGTGTTACAATAATTATCGCCACCATTAATTGCGCGCGTCTGACGCACTTCAAAGTGGCTTACTGCTGTTTTAAGTGCTGTTCTTTAAAAAAAAATAATTTTGTATTGCCATTCTATAACAAAAATCCGAAGTACACGTATCTCAGGCGAAAGAAAAAGAATTGAGTGAGAGTAATGTAATGAGTGAGACAGACAGAATGAAATAGGGCTCAAGGAAAAAAACCGCCGCTATTTTTTTTTCCTTTTCTTTTTCTTCTCTCTCTCTCTCTCTCTCTCTCTCTCTCTCTCTCTCTCTCTCTCTCTGTCTCTCTCTTTTTCAGCTTTCCATCAAGATCCATGTATCTATCTTTCAACCTGAAAACTTCAACTCTACCTTGCTCTCTTCCTTTCTCTCTCTGTGTATGTGTGTGTGTTGCTTTCTC